GTGGGGGAACTTGCACAATCGGTGGCTGACTAAATACTTTTTTGCCCCACTGTATATGTGTCAGTGCTGCTTTAATAACTCTGACTTGTGATATGACAGATTGAATACACATCATTACTGTGGAAACTGAAGACGATCAATAAAAATGATCTAAGAAAGCACCAGAGAGTCTTTCAGCTAGTCTCAGGCCATTGATCTCTGCAACAAGCAGCCGGGCCACAGTGTGACTTTCACGCCGCCGTCCTCCACCACTTCATCCTCCGTATCACTACAGCTGCCCCGAGTCACTCTGCTAATTTTAGCTCTGACTCAACACTTCCTGATTCTGCCTTTAACCTGAGAGACACAGCGAGAGCTCGCATACGATTAATTAATTCAGACTGTGGAGTGTGTGTGTGTGTGTGTGTGTTTACGATGGAGGATGATCAGCCTCAAAAATATGCAGACAGCTGAAACACTCTCCTACTTCCTACTCCTGTATGACACTAACAGAGCCAAAAAGTCCAAAATAAATATCACGTTTTATTCCATAAGACCTGAGGCCATAAACTCATCAGAGGTTTGCACTGAGCTTGGCTGAGCGGGAGGATCAATCTCCTCTTAAACTTCTATCCAATCACACTTTTGACAACCAGAGGTGTCGCCCGTAGTGACCACATCTGTCTGTAAGCAGAGCCAGTGATCTAAAATCTGTGTTAATATGTTGAAGTTAACAGCCATAAACTACACCTCCCATGATGCTTTGGTCATAGCTCTCCATCCAACAGTTTGTGTTCAGTCTATTTTTACTCACAACGATGCTTTCAGTTTGAATCAGGTGGCTCTGATTGGCTCCAATTATGTCAACAACATACACACACACACACACACGCATGCATGCACACAAACACCTTCTGGGCCCTTTGTCTCCCGCCAGGTCTCAACCTCTCCACCCTGAGAGCTCCTTTTAATTGCCACTAAAGTCAACACAGTAACGGAGTGTGTGTGTGTGTGTGTGTGCCTGTGTGTGTGAGCGTAAAGGGCCGCTGCCATGGCAACAACATCACCACTGATAAAAGGAGCTGTGAGTGTGTTTTTGCTGCAAGCAGAGCTCAGTCTGCTGATCCACTTTAAACGCATGCAGCTGATCATTACTGCGCTTTATGAAGACGTGCGCTCTGTCACAGCACGTTCAACATTACAGCTGACGTCACAGAATTGTAACGTTTCGTCTCAGTGTATTAAAGCAGCGAGAGCAGAGACATTAAAGGACGAGGAGACACATCACTGAACCCTCTGAGAGATTCAGCATCAGCAAAGAATGGAGGCACAAGTTTAACCTGCAGGGAAAAGATGCTTTTTAAACTTTAATTTGAAGGAATAAACAGACAATTTTACAAAAACTGCCCGAATGGAACAAGTAAGGTCTCAAAATCCACATCAATCAAGCCAATCAAATAAAAAACAGAGCAGGAAGCATCAGTGCGATCT